GCGAATGAAGGCATGAAGGTTAGCTCTTGCACAACAGTAAGAGAAAATTATTTCAGAAAGGGGGAACCTTTTCTGTCTCCTTATACCTTTGGGAAGTTCATTTCAATTAGATTGACACTTTTGACAATAGCTAGATAAATAGATTGATAGAGAGATATTACATGAGGTCTTGACTTCAATGAAGCACAATCCTCCAGCTCTATTTAACAGAGCTAAATCCTTACTGCCATCAGCAGTACATTTAATGATCACAGAAGAAATTAATCACATCACACACAGCCTCACTCTTCTCAGTACACAAGCTAGCCACCATATTAAGAGTCTATTTTCTTCCTTCTAGGTTTTTCTTCATGAAAATAAATCAGTAAGTAGGTATCGCCTGCTTCATCAGTGGTTGTAAGAACATCTACTCATCAGCAAAGACTTCAAAAAACTTATACAGTATTTATGTCCTTTGTATGCCATGAACTCTTACTCTTTATCAGGTATTAAAAACTTCATTTTTATCACTTGAAGAAGTTGCTTACAAAAAGTCTGTAAAGGTCAAACATTTTCTTTGACCCTAACAACACAAGTCACGGAGAGGCAACACTTATCGGAAGTCCTGTAGCACCCCGAGTGATCCTAACTTCTTTCTATTAAGATGCCCAGGAAAGACTAGCTATACCATAAGTAACATAAAACCGGGAGATGTCAGCAAAACACTCCCGTGATAATAAAACTATCAAAATGTAATCCTCATGAAAGTCCTAGTCCCTAATGAAGAACACAATCTCTAAGAAAAGCACCATGATCCTGCACCAATTCCTGCTTCCTCACCAATCTACCACAGTACTGTAGAGCCTCTTCTCTTTTGCTGAACGACGAAGCAGATGCACTACTGAGTCGAAAGCCCTGGAGGTACCCACAGGGAGGTAACTGACCTGAGTGAATTGTACTGTCATAAAAGGCAGCCAAAGCATGATGAGACAACCATATTCATCCTCTAGTACACGAGGAGCAGGAGTACGTTTACATCAATTGTATCTCTGTCCATTAAAAATTACAAAAATCCACTTGGAGAGGTGGAGAAGCAGCCTGACTCAGCAGGGACATGAAGTAACACAACACATCCTTTAGAAGGTGTACGCTGTGAAACACCCTGGCATATTGTACATAAATTATACCACATGTAATTGGAGTTCGTTCAACTTTTTTTTTTTCCAGATTAACACTACAGAATTTTATCAATGGCAGAAAACACATAGGAAAACATACGTGTGTGTGTATGTATTTCTATTAAAAAAAAACCCCAACCCACACGTATTTTGTCTTTTTTGTTGATGTTTTTTGTTCTGTGTTTTCTTACCTTCTACTGCTCTCTTGAAGAAAACTTTACAGCTGCCACATGTAACCACCCCATAATGACATCCAGATGCCTCGTCTCCGCACACCAAACACACTTTGGAAGGTCTTGAAGATCCAGTTGATACACTTCTCAATGAAGAGCTGAAGTAAACAAACAAACAAAACAAAACAGCTATGAATATTTCAAATCACACTGGTCATAATGCAAAGTTCAATTAAGAATTTATAACAGGTATATTGCTCAAGGCACCTAACAATTAGGAAACCACAACTTTTTCTGGCAGTGCCTGGTTGAATACATGAATTGCTTTAATTAGTCAGTGCAATATTTTTATTGTCTGTTTTAAAATATCCATAATATATCAATGTTAATGTGAGAAGTTACCACAAGGGCAGCAGAATTTATTGGTAGCAGATGACTAAAACTGAAAATAAACAACAAACCAACCAACCAACCACTCTGGCACCTGATAGCTATAAATTTTCTTTCTGCTTGTTTTTTTTTTTTTTCCCCAACCTTTTACAGTTAAGGAATACTTGTGATA